TGATGATGATGATGATGATGATGATGATGATGATGATGATGATGATGCTCCGTTTTCTTGGGGATTATGGTGCAGTGTCAACAAGCCAACTCAAGACCATAAAAGGCTTGGTGATCCACCATCTACACACCTGATTAGTACGACTTGGTGAATTCCGCAGGATCTGTGACCCGTACTTGCAGAGTCGACTTCAGCAGCTCGCAAGCACATTGATGGATCAAAAGGATTTTATGGGCAGCCTTTTGTGAGTGAGACGGGGTTGTGTCTGGCGGCAGCCTCCTGAAAACGTGTGGATCTACTGACTCCCTCAGTTTCCCTGGGAAGTGAATAAAGCTTAACCTCTTTCCACCTGTTCCACTTGGTCATCCACCTAGGAACCTCCCATAAAGGTTTTGAGCGATCCTGTGATCCTGTGCAAGATTGGATGTTTTCCACATTTTTCCACTGGGATGCTGCCGCTCAGAAAACTTGTCAAAGGCTCTGATGCCGATGCCCTTGAAAAATAATCATTGCTCTTCTTTCTCTGCGCCTTTCTCTGTGGGCTTCACAACCTGTGGGGCAAGCTCCTGGTTGAAACGTCGACCAGGGCACTGGGTGATCTTACACATGCGTAACCTTGAACCGTGCTGAATCCAACCAACAAAGATCCCTTACAGCAAAGGACTGGGTCACATGTGCCAGCATGGGCTCCACATTGAAGTGTCGCTGTATCACCAACCTCACGAATATGTATGGTCTGGGTCTTCTTGTTGCGTCTGTCTCCAGATGATCTATATAAAAAGATGGGAATCGTGGAATCGTCCTCACTTGGTCAATCATCACCAAAATATCCCAGTGGGACAGTCCCACCAGGATGGTCGGAGAAGCTTTTTTTTCTGGGGGAGTACATGCACCTTGCCACCCCAACTATTTCACTTCTGGAATCCATCCAAGACTCCACACATTCTTCATCATTCTTCAAACGGACGAACATCAACATTGGTCAAAAGTCAGTCCTAGACTGACTCAGATGTGGTCCATGACTACAAGGTCCGATTGACATGTGGATGCCATCTCCTTCAAAGGGGAACAAAAATACCTCGGCAAACAAAACAAAAAAAGAACACATCACACACATGAAAGAATTAACATATAACAAGATATAACAAGTATCTCCTTTCAAAACCGAGCTGTTCAAACAAGAATACACTGCCCCCATCCGTCCCCATCCCCGCCGCCGAGGGGCGCCCAAGCAGGCCAACGCCCCCAAGATCCGCTGACTCGGCCGGCGCCGGCCCACGCGTGCCGTGGGGGAGAACGGCTCCTGGTGAAGCGGTCAATGGGGGTCACCTCCCCTAGGCTGAAGAGGTGATTGTTAATCAAGATTCTAGATGTTATAAATTACACTATTACATAATATTACAATAATGTATGACCCATGATACTACTATATAGATCTATATAGTATATATATAGGCTGACGTCTCATCTCACCTCCATGTCAAAGCCTTCAATTGGTCCCAGCTCAGTTGTGTCCTGGGCCAACTTGTCGCGCTCCTGACCCCCAGTTGCTCCGTGGGAGGTGTTTCCCACGCCTGGCGAGGAGAACGACACAGGGTTCAGTCCAATGGGCGTTGATACATTTGGAATCATGTTGATCATAATATATATATATATATCATGTTGCTGGATCCAAAGTGACCATGCAACATGACATCTGGATGCATCTGTAATTTGTGGGACTGAACCAACCATATGCAATCTGGTGGGCCCTTGCGACACACCAAGGCCACAAGCGGGGACACCCGGAACAACAACACCGAGTCCTTGTTGGTCAATCGGCCTACGTCAAATAAACATGAAACCGTTTCCAGTTATTTTTCTGCAGTACGTTGCAACAAAGACGGACTTGGGAATCTTTTTCTCAGAATGAATGGATCCACCCACGCCAGGTTCCCTGCGACTGCAAGTTGGTGCCTGTAACCTTGCCCTGCTTTGGGCTCCAGGTTTCTGCCTGACCAGGCTTTGCGGCCAGCATGGTGGCAAGGCTTTCATCATGAAGTGGGATCCACTCAATGCATCAACCAACTCGGTACTGCAATCATATAGCAAAATACAGCTAATGTATATAATGATACTTATACAGTTATAGACTCGATGTTTAAACAAAGCTTCAAGGTCCTGAGCGCTCATCAAGTGTGACCCGTCCATTCTCGCAGTTCTTGACAGCAAGCTGGCAAGAAACCTAAAGAAGTTCTGGAGCTCGTTATGCTCATTACTATCTCCATATCCATTTGTTCGCGGCTACAGGGTCTTGCGCGGCAAGGGAGCAATCACAAGTTGGTCTCAAAATGTACGAAAACAACACACATCTCAAAACAATCTGCTAGGCATAAAGGCAGAATGCGGCAGAATGTCATACGTCCACAAACATAATCCGTCCACCAGGCGGTCAAACTGAGAGGTTTCGCAATCTCTCCATGCCCCCCCTATCTTGTTTGCCGCATCCTTGGAGGCCATTGCTATTAGATTGGAGGCCATTAGGTTCTTCATCCTGTTTCATTATATAATCCACTTCACACATCCATTCCCCCCAAGTCCTCTGCCTCATCCACTTCAGGCCTTGAAGCCCGGAAGCCGGACCGGTCCGGTTCGGAATCGGCCATGTGAGAGCTGTTCCGCAGCCATGGCTGCGAGTCATGGCACCCTGAGCTCGAAACCCTGGTGGCTTGACCTCCCCGTCCTAGTCAGTCGTCCTTCTGCTCATCTCTTCGGCGGGAACGGGACTTCTTTTCAAGCCCCAAGCGCGGTAGGTTCACCTGCCCGGTTCCATGCATGGATGTACCCATGAGTTGGGGTGGTTGACTTGATACTCTGGTCATTGGCCATTGAGCACGATGCATCCAATGCACCCCTCATGGCCTTCGGCTGTCGAGGCGCGTCGCTTCCACAGCCTTCTTGGCCTCATGGAGTTCCAGATCCTTCCTGAGACCGCCGCCGCTCGGACGCGGCGTCGCGGGGCGGAGAAGAGCGGCTCTTCTTCCTGCGAAGGTGTGCATCGTGACCCCCAAAATGTGTGCGCGCTTGTGTGTGTGTGTGTGTGTCTGGAAGTGTAGTTTTGTTTGTCAGGACAAAAAGTGACCTGGGTTGTTTGTTGATGCACACTCCCCAACCTCGCTAGATCACACAAGGGAGACCTCGATAGATCGCACAATCACACTTGCAAGACTTGCAAACGGAGGACTCTTAAACAAGGCCTTGATAGTTCTTGCCATTGCTAAATGAATTAAATGAATGAACCAAATCAGCGCGCCCGACACAGCTGGAAATGACCGAATCTGTTGCTCCTGGACCCCGAAGTCAGGTTTCGACCGGTGTCGATAGGCTTTCAGGCGCAAGCTCAGTCTGAAAGCAATACCTTCTGGGACACCTACAACGTCCATCCACGCGTTCCACCCAATCCCGGCGAACACACATGCCGCACGGAGTCCGGGAGCCGCCGACACACGGCGGAAAGAACCACGGAGGACGAGGTCGAAAGATACGGGTCTTGGGATCTTCTGAAGGTTCGGCGTGTAGCTTAGAGCACCGATCATCTACAGATCTCTTAGCAGCAAGATCCTGAGTTTCCACGCTTGACTTCTGTTAGCAATGCCATGGCCTTCTCCACTTCCTCACCCAACTCCTCGGTTCACCCGAGAGAAGATGGACACAGGAGCTTTGAGTGATGTCCTTCATGTGAGGTGGGCCCGTTGAAGCAAACTTATAATGTGAGACATCTAGATGGTCGGCCCGTTGAACATCGTTTAACAACAGCTCACAAAGAGACTTGAGGTTGTCTCAAAAGCCTCCCAGGACCACCCTAAGGGGGTGGCTAAATCCATAGCCCCGAAAGGAGGTGAAGTCAAGGTGTCCATTGAACCACCACCAGGGTTCCTGGTCTATATTTCCCCATACCACTTTGATGAACATGTAATCCTTTCTCACCTGTTGAAGTGTCCTGGTTGAATCTCTAAGGCTATTCTTTGAATTCGATGCCGGAACAAAAAAGAGGAGAGATGATGAGAGATGTGTACTCTCCGAAGGCTGCCAGGCTGGTCAAAATCATGTTGCGATCGTGCGTGGGCAAACTTCAAAAAGTCAATCTTTGGGCAGCTGTTTGACATGAGATTACCTACACACTTTACACTAATGTACACCGGGGCTTGGTCGGAGCTCATATTCAGCCACAACATCTTGTGCTATGGTGAAAGAATCCTATAAGGTTGACAGGGATTGAACAAATACAATTAGACGATGATGGAACCTGATCCCAAGCCGTAAAGATCCAAAACCTCATGCTGCCTCGTTGGATTTAGTAGATGTAACCTGATATATTCATTGTTTCAATGCTCTCATCCAAAGATCCCCAAGCCGCTGAGCACAGCTGAACCTCCCACACAGCCGAGCATGATCGGCCTTCTTCCGGAGCTCCGCCTCTTCAGAAACTGCTCTCCTCAGCTTGGAGTTTGATGCCTAAATGCCAAAGGCCTACCATCAACAAATCCTGGAGAAAGATCCCCAAACATCCAACACCTACCTTTCAAGGCCTACCATCAAGGCCGTCCCGCAGTGGGGTTTTCGTCCGATCCATTTTCCTTACCATCTGGTGAAACCGTTCTGCATCCATCCGACCCATCAGAGGTGTAATCGGAACCACGTCACTACATCCCACTTCATCTACCGAGACGTACCGAACCTCTAGCCCCCGCAACAAAAACATGAACCAGCAGTTCCAAAGGGGTGCTTAATTGCTTAATGGACAAGGGTGCCTATTATCCACTCACTGGATAGGACTAAAAAGATCTAAAAAGAACTCCTTTCTTTCCCCTGGAAGAGACTTCCTCCCAGGCTTCACTCGGCTCTTCGCGCTGTCGAGAGGCTCCAGGTGCTTTTGCAACTCCTCCGCCCGGGCGCTCAGCTGTTGTGCCGCCGCGGGCATCTGAAGCTCAAGAGCTCGAGCCACCTGAGAAGGCATGACAATGCGTTCCTGTAGAAGGCAGGTACGAGCGGGGCGAAAGGCGAGGGAACGAGTTTGGACAAGGGGATGGTGAGTCTTGGTATGTCTTGGTGTATCAGAAGCTGCGCTGTCAAGGTGGTTACACAAGCACCATTGGTGAACCATGGTTCGCTCTGTGGCTTTTCCATGCCATACCCTCACCATGCGACCAGCGACCATTCAAAGTGTTCAGTTGATCGGATTTCATCGGCGAAAATCCTTAGTAAAGCGATGATTCTTTCGGCAAAACATTGCAAATGCCATGGCATGGCCCGGCATGGTATCCTTGATTTCAATAGATCCCTTGCGCTGGCATGGCCTTTCTTAGTAAAACATGGCAAACCACTCTGAACTCAGTGGTGCTTGGGAGCCGTGAGCCTGATGAAGCCTGCAGCATCGATTCCTGATGTGTCCAGCATGTTGGTGGAACCTCTTGGACGAGGGGGAGACCCAATCAGCACTTCAACTGCATGCCTTTTGGACTTAGCCAGCTGCGACCCACCAAAACTGACACCAATGAACACAACAATGCTAACGGCTAACGTGACTTAATCTAATCATCGATAGTACGAACCCTCATTCATGTTGCCTTAAATGCAGAAAGAATGTGTCGACTCCTTTGAACATGTCTTTTGCAGGAAGCCACTTTTTCATGAGGACCTCTAATTCTATGGCAAAATGGATGAATCCCTTTCCCATAAACTACTGAAGCCTTTCTGTGTGTGTTTCAGTGTTCTATTCCGCCCATCAAGTTCCTGCCACCGTACCCCTAAACCCGGCCACTTGTTCCGTCCAAGGCACAGACGCTTCCAACCTCAATTGATACTCCCCCAGCGCCTGGACCTGCAGGTTTCTTAGGCCCAGCACGAGCGCGAGCAGCGGCGTGAGCGGGTCTGAAATGAATGACCCAATTGTGGAGGGTGTCGAAGAATATTGCACTTTTTTGAAGAACATGTACTTAAACGGAAGAACCGTATTCTGAATCTCTGAAGGCAGCGCCCCTACTGTTTTCCAGTTCAGGCTGAGCAAAAGAGGTCTGGGTAAAAAGGCCGTCCAAATTCTCAATGTGAATGAGCCGTTCTCCGTGCACCTTGGGTGAAAGAACCCTCCTGGCATAGGAGTTCCCAAAAAGGAAACGTCCCCAAACGCCTGCTGACCGTCCACACAAACCATCAAGGTGCTGAAATCACATCATCAATCATCATATAGTAACTGTTACTCATATATATATATATATATCATATCTCCCCCAAGGCTCCTCACGACCAGTGCACCTGCACCAGGCCGACCTAGAGAGGGTGTGTAGTAGCATCTAATAGTAATGCAAGGAGCTACGTTCGTAGCATCCGATGGCTCCGTTCGTAGCGATGCACCTTGTTACTAGTAGCGTCCTCCGTTCGTAGCGATGCCCTTTGTGCCTTATTTTTTCAACAGCCGTGCTCTACTGTCGAACGCCCTTCTTTCAAGAGCTAGAAACTGGTGGACACTCGAGCCCATGACACAAGCGAAAATGGCAGGACTCCAACCAAACAAACTGGACAGTTGAAACTGAAAAGCCAGCGTGATGTGAAATGAACAAACCCTCCAGAAACTTGACATCCATCATATATATATATATACTGCATACATCCACATCAATCCAGGTGCCAGTCCGCAGGTCTGGCCCGAGGAACTCGACCGCGCCTCTGAGGTCACAGGCGCTGTTCCCAGGACCGGCAAAGTGCGAGGCCTGCACAGTGCACCACTTGCGGGTTGAGACCTGGTCGGGGGATGATTTCCACTGGATCCATCCGGACGCTTCAAAACAGTCGTTAACCTTGCAGCATCTCTTGGTAGTTAACAATCCCCCAAAATACTATAGTCCAGCTCACGGGTTTCCCATCTGCCAAGTTTAGTTTAGCATCCCCAAGATATCCACGATGCTGCTGTGGCTCGAAACATGTTGCTGCACCATCCCCAGCACTTCAAAGCCTCAACAGCAGACCCACAGCTTCGTCGCACCTACGGCAGCTACACCATCCTACACCTCCTCCTAAAAAGCTCCGCCGTGCTTCGTCCCAAACGAATCTCCCACAACACGACCTCCCATCGACCTCCATGAAACCAGCTCCACCAAAAAGCCGAGCTGGGTCGTTCGAGTCTAGAGCTGGTCCCATGGATATTGGGTCATTAATATATGTGTCGGGTCACTATCGATATACGCCGAAGATGATCAGGTATGCCATCCCAGTCCCAAAAGGGGGTGCTTCATGGAGGAGAGGGGTGCCCATTCTGCACTGAGTTGGGGACTACATAGCATCCCTTTGGAACTCCCGGTGTGTTATTTTTTACCATTTGAGTATGCAGGGTGTAGGGTATATGTTGGTGGTAGGGTGTATGTAGTAGGGTGTGTGCCATACATATCATACCTGAGTATATACCTGTTGGCCTTTCACCCTTCATCCTGTCCCAGGTGTCACATCTGCCGCGACATGCCGCCAGGTATCCAGCTTGGGCACTGCCGGTGGAGACACTTTCTCAGACCGAACCATACCCAAACACTCCATGTATGGTGTAGATGCCCACTTTGACCCCTGAAACCATCCCAGTGTATATATTTCATGTTTGGGATATGAAAGTGGAGCTTTTGTTGAAGAGCATTTTCGCGTACAAAGAAGGTTCTTCTGATATTTAGCAACAAGAAGCTACTTCTAGCAAACGGCATCGCTACTAGTCCCAAGGGCATTTCTACTAGTAGCAAGAACGCTACCAGTAGGCATTACTACTAGTCACAAGCTACTAGGAACAAGGGGCATCGCTACTACAAGTAGGAGCAGGAAGCTACTAGTGGCTCCTCGCATTACTACTAGTCTCAGCGGAGCCTTTTTGGGCCCTCCTAAGTGTTGGCAGCGGGTTTTCGATGGAACTGCTGACAGGCATTTTGTTGAGCACGTGGTGCAGGTGCGGATGATTATGGCTCTATTCTATGTAAACAGAAAAGATCTGAGGGCTTCATGAGAAGAGGTTTCAAGCAAAATCTGGTGAATACGTGTTTTATATTCCTTGCTGTCCGTTCTCACGAACAAGCCTAATCTTTGAGGGAGTAAACAGTAGCCTAATTACTTGGCCTGTTTCATATGTTGGAACTCATTATCTTTCCAACTGCCTCCTGCAGGCCATCCAGGTCATCAAGGAAGTACCACTCTGCTCATCCAACCCACCTGGCCTTGTCAGTCTCTCTTGTGCGCGGCCCACGAGCTGACCTCCGTGGCTCCGTGGTTGCTCCGTGCAGTTCATCGTATCGTTTGTTGCGTCATAGACAAAAAAAAAGGACATGTAACCTTGGAGTCCATGACATTTCAAGCTGAATTTGGGTCATTAAGACAAACGGCAGCGGTTTCTTTAAGGGTCTCCAACATGTCCAACATGTCTTTGGGTCCATGATGTCCAAATGTTCAAGATCATCCGACTTCCCGGTTTCGCGGACGAGCGACACCGTTGGAACACCGTTGGACGGGACCCGGAACCGGGGCCCGGAACATCCACAAGGCCCGGTCTGCCAAGACCGGTCGCATGATCGATGTGATGATTTTGAGGTATTGACAATGGAATGACCTTCTTCCAGCTGCTTCCAAGGCATTAGCTGCTGGACAAACCTAACACCACTTCTGGGCCTCCATCGGACATCCATTGGAAGCACGGCAGGTTGTTTCTCTACCACTGTTGAACTCATACAGGTAGAACTCTTTGCAACCGGAACAGCTTTTGGTGCCCTACAGCCGAACAGCAATCGTCGGCACCACATAGCACCACCTTGTTGACCATAAAACACCTGGTCCAGTGCAAAAGGCCGTCTTAGAGAATGGTTTTGCTCGATGAACACATGATGAACACCATCCTCCATCAGTTTAGGTATGTTTGGATGCTGATTGGAAATCTTCAATCATATGAATCATATTCATAGATTTTTAGGAGCCCCCAAAACATATCATTGAATGATTCAGCACCAAAACACCTTTCGCCAAATCCATGCATGCATGCTACACCCTGAACACCACCACACCTGGGCATAGATCCTTGGACTTGAGACTAGCGGATTTGGGGCGTCCCCTGTGGGTGCGGGTGAGTGGGTGCTTTTCTGTCTCACTGTCTCATTTGCCCTGCAAAAACTGTTTTGAATTAATTCCCATGAACTCCCTCAAGAACAATTCCAATTGACATCGAAAACCTGATTCCAGTGAAAAGAGAAACTGGCATGCCACCATTCCTACTGCTCCCCACGTGGAAAAAACACACCAAAGACCGTGCAAAGTTGACTTTGCCTGGGGCTTCGTAGCAGCTCCAGGTCAAGGGTCTTCCAGGACGCGACGCCAACTCTGACGGAGAGCGGCGTGCACCTGCGGAACATAGCAGTGGAAGCAAATGGCAAGAGGTGGGGCACTCTTGGCGTTGAAACCCGCTACTAGTAACAAGTGCCTTACTAGTAGTAACAAGAAGCTAGTAGTAACAGGTGCCACGCTAGTAGTAACAAGAAGCTAGTAGTAACAGGTGCCACGCTAGTAGTAACAAGTGCCACGCTCGTAGTAACAAGTGCCTTACTAGTAGTAACAAGAAGCTAGTAGTTGAACTATTGTTTTTCTTGGTGTTCTATTTGGTTGCTGGTCCGAATGCTGCAGGGGCAGGTCCGTAACTTGAGGGGTGCTGGCTTGTTCTTGATGACTTGGCTATTCAAAAACTGCAAAGACTTTGCGGCTTTGGGTCGAATTTCCTCTTCAAGGGTGATCGTGTCTGCGAAGATGGTTACCAGGCCCCTCCAACCATCAAACCTCACTCTTCTCAACTTCATGCTGTAAAGCTTCTGGATGAACTGCTACCCCACCAGACATGCCCCACATGCCTCCAGTGTCCAAGTGGCCTTTGTCCCACTGATGTTGCCATCATGATTTTCTCAGATAATGCTAAACCATCCAAGGTTTGCTGGGGTCGGCGACGTTTGCAATCTTCCCAAACAGGTTGAACCGATGTCTAATGCCTTAGAGATCAGCAAAACAACCAAAATCTCCCTACAGCTAGGTCCGTGTTTTCTTTTTTAAAAAGAAAAAAACATTCAATATCATTCAAATTCATTCAATAGGTCTATCGACATCCACAAACTCGCTTGTTTTTTCTTATAAGGTGTTGCTTCATCCCAATTACAAGTATTAAGGTCTCGTCCTCGTTCCTCCGCTTTCTTCATCGACCGCTCCGCGGCCTCCATTCCAGTCGTCCACAGTGACCGGAGCCTTCGCGACCGCGACGAGACGAGCTGAGAAACGAAGAGCGACCAGAGATGGATGGCGAATGAGACGTACGTCCCATCAGAAGCTCCGGACTATGGAAGTCTGGAAGGAAGCTATGAGTATGATTGGAACCATCAAAATTAAGAATACTTATTATAGAATCCCAAAGAAACTAAACCACGACACGTATACCTGCAACTACTTCCAAGGGACCTCAGGTAAACAGAGTAGACCCCCAAATCTGGGGGTCTAACATGAAAAACCAATGTGGTTAATGATGGTTAATGTTTTTCCGTGACCATCCACAATAAAACACAAAACAACTCCATGCTCGCTGACGGTGCACCGTGCTTCCGCGGAGGGGTCGGCGCGGACATCCGCGCGCCTCGTTCTCCAACTTGAAGCTCGGTGCGAAAGGAGACCTTGGGGCGAGGGAACGAAACAGTGGACAAAGAAAGGGAATCAGCGACACGATCAGGATCCCAAACACCCTTCAAACAGCCGGCAAACGTTAAAAATCGTTCAAACGGAAGGCTTTTTGAGGAGAACGAACGGCTCCCTGCCGACTCGCTGCGGACCAGGTGCATCGAGGTCTCCAAGCGCTCTAGGCGTCCTTCCACCAAGGCGCCTGGGGAGATAGAATGTGTCCACTGATGGGGCACAGCACTTCAACCACTTGGGCAAGATCAGTTTTCTGGTTGGTGGTTTCAACTCACGAACCAACCCTAGGGCTCCAACCATATCCGAAGGCGGTTAGACCCCCCAGTTCCCCCCACCCCAACCACCTTCTGGGGATGTGGTTGGAGCCCTAGGGAAAACATATAATATGAGTCCGTGGGATCTAGGTTGAAAATCGCCGAAGCCACCACCCGGTGATGTTGTCTAGTTGGGCCATCCAAAAAATACAATATAACCCCCTGGTCCTGTTGACATACTGTTTTGGGCCATTTGACTTGATGGGTTCAACACCCACCTCCCTGTGAGTGTGAAAAACCAAATCCGACAAATTGATTCTTGGATTTGTTTGAGGGTCAGTGTGGCTATTTTATAACACATGATGTGTTTTGGATGGATCTGAGACATGGCCGTGCTGTCCCAAATGAACCTTCTTGCTGGACTCAAGGAGCTGTCAAGGCCACAAGGCCAAGGCAAACACCCAGAAATCCGGCAGTCTGCTGTGAAATACATGTGAAATACATGTTTTATACATATTGCTTAATCAAACGACAAGATACTTAGTACTTGAGGAAATGAGCCTTGGAACCCTGCCCCCTTGTGCCCGCTGCGCCTTGGCCATTAATATTCTCCACCTGACCGCTTCTTTGGGTCACGGGCAAGGCCCGTTTGTGCATGCCTCAACGAATCTCACGCCGTCAAAACGTACCCCACCCAAAATGAAAAGGAACGGACCACCAGGGAGGCCATCTTACAAGCCAACTGGTAAACCAACCCTCAACCTTGGGAGCTTCAGGCGCACCCTCGACGACCACCCATACTCGATAACATTCATTCCGGAATTGGTCACGATGCCACAAACAACTTGTGGAACCAAAGCAACCAGTTGAGTCGTTGGGGGTGGCATCTGGTCTTTGCCTTTCTGCACCAGGGAGTTGCAAACATGCGTAAGGGTTGTCAATCAGTGCTGGACACACAACTTTAATTAGGTACTGTGAGTGCGCGAGGGACCACCCTCGTGTTGTGTAAATTTGCATGTTTTGCATGTTGGTGTAACATGATCGGAGACCAAAGAAAGCCGGTTTGATGCTAGACGGCAGGAATGGTTGAAGCAAACATGTGCAGATGCGCATGTCATTGTCATCCCAAAGTTCGACATCAACAGAAGCAGCCTTGCAACAAACATGACGCCAAGAACATATCGCTACATGCTGCCAAAGGTTGAGTCGATGCACAGCACTCGTTTTAGATCGTATGGCATCCTCCTACAAGCACCTAAGCAGCTGTGGTTTCAACGAAGCCTGTACCATGGTACATGTGCAGCCAAAGGATTTGCTGTCCAGGAACCGAGAAAAAACACAGCCGCAGAAGGGGATTCACCCTTAGGAAGAATAAACATCACCCATGAGCAAAACCAGGCTCAACACGCATCCCCCAAACATGCGCTTTCACCCAAAAGACTCCACCGTGTGCCGCGGTCCGTGGTGCACCTCTTGGGCTACGGTGACCAGCTCCTTTGCCAAGTCCAAAATCACCGACTCAATACTGCTGTTCTTCTCCTCGCGAACACGCCCGTTGCGCGGCATGCGCTCGCCAAGCGCTACCCCACGCGTTTCTCGCGCAGAACGCGTCGTTCAGGTGCCCAGGTCTGTCGACCAAGGTGATGGGGGGATGGGGACAATGAGACAGTTGCAAAAGGGCAAACGTATTGGATGGTTTCTTTTGTATTGTGCAGACATCCACGTTGGCTCTTGAACATCTTATATTACAGTATGTGCTTTTGTGTTTTTTCAGCAAAGTGGACTCTGCTGGTGTTTTCCGGGGTTCTCGGGCAGATTCTCTGGCGTGTGTGAGAATCCTGAAGAACAGGAACAAGAAGATTCGATGATGTTTGATGGCGCAAGATACTACTCATCAAGCTTGAGTTGGCCCATTCGTCTCCATCTCCTCCATTTCACTTGCCATGTCCAGCAAGCGCCTTTCCAGCTGCAAAACGCCTCACCGGACGGGACGGTCAGTTCCAGGGTCCGACCCGTCCGGAGCGACTGTCCGATGTGGAACGATTCGGGGGTACGGGTTCCTCCAGGACATCGAGTCACAAGGACGCGACGTTTGGAACGTCACAAAGGGCATCGCAGACGTGACGAATGGAGCCAGGATGCGACTATTAGTAGCTCCTGGCCATACTACTAATAACAAGAAGCTACTACGTAGTAACAAAGGGCATTGACGGCAGTTAACCTGGGACTTTCTCTATCTCCCTGTGTTGATTTAGTTGGATAACTCACTCCTGTTGATTAATTTACAGTCGGTGTTCATGTTCATTGAAGGAACCAACACTTGGTATTACACTCCCTGGAACTAACATGGAAGTGGAGTTCACCCCCCCGTTTAGTATTCGGATTTTATACTCTTCCCTTCGGGCCATTGGGCCATGCCATGTAGATATCCCAACATATGCAAAACAAACACACCGCATATCGCCACAGACTGGTGCGAACTGTTTTCCCCGCTGCCGCCTAGCGAGTTCCTTTGACTTTCAACTTCCTCCCG